GAGTAGATTGGGATTATATTCATTGGAATTCAGAAGATTGAGGGGGGGATCTTATAGAAACATATAAAATTATGAAGGGAATAGATAAGATAGAAGTAGAAAGGATGTTTCCACTGGCAGAAGAAGCTAGGACAACAGGGCATAGCCTCAAGATTAGAGGGAGCAGATTTAGGACTGAATTGAGAAGCAATTTCTTCACCCAGAGGGTTGTTAATCTATGGAATTCCTTGCCCAGTGGAGTAGTTGACGCTACTTCAGTAAACGTTTTTAAAGATAAGGTAGATTTTTTTTTGAACAATAAAGGAATTAAGGGATACGGTGAGAACACGGATAAGTGGATCTGAGTTCACGAAAAGATCAGCCATGATCTTATTGAATGGCGGAGCAGGCTCGAAGGGCCAGACGTCCTACTCCTGCTCCTAGCTCTTATGTTCTTATGTATGTACAACGTTTAAAAGACATTTGGCTAAGTACATGAATAGGAAATGTTTGGAGGGATATGGGCCACGATCAGGCAGGGTGGACTAGTTTAGTTTGGGATTATGTGGCATGAACTGATTGGACCAAAGGGTCTGTTTCTGTGCTGTTTGACTCAGTATGTTCTGTGTTATTTGGGGGGACTATTTTCATACCACAAACTGTGGGGACCAAACAGCTGTTGCAACTTTCTTTTCTAACAGAATCAATAATTATGTGTTCGTTAAATAAACCAGGCTGACGAATTGTTTGATTCTGAATCTAACAGAGAAAGCACATTATTTGCCATATTGGGAGTTGGATAAACAAACTAAATTTATTTTGCAACTTGCAGCAGCATGGGACTAGATAGAGACATTGCATTGCTTCCATCTTGGTCGTAACAGTACTCACCAAGATTGTATTCTTGTATTTTGCTGATGTATCCATAAAGCGGACAGTATCCGAAGATGACCAACATCACAACACGACCATCTTTCAACTGCACAATATGTGCAGAGTGGCCAACAACTGCATACTGTTGCTTAGCCTTTGGAGTCAGCTGCATCCATGATTGGTTCTGACTGTGAAACACCCAAAGCTCATTTGTGACATTCCCTGTCGAGTCGATTTTACCTCCATACATATAAATTTTATCCTAAAATGTTAGGGGAAAAACTAAATTAACATCAGTATCAATTACTTGGATGTGAATAAAGATGGAACATCAAATTAGACAGACGTAATAGGAGTAGAATACTCAAGGTAAAATCAGTTTCAATTAATTGGCTTCATTAATTTCAGATATAATAAAGTAACTGAAATCTTCTGCACTTTATAATATCTGTGATGTGGAGGTGCTGGTGTTGGACCAGGTTGGATAAGGTCAAAAATCACACAACACCATGTTATAGTCCAACAGCAACCTCGTGTCATGTGATTTCTGACCTGATAATATCTGTGCAGGATGCAATCTAAGAGCTAGCTCGAAACAACAAACTAGCATGTCAAATAATGTTTGCTAGTATTGGTGAGCCTGATAAATTGTTTCAAGTGGATAAACCCAACAGATATCTCCTTGTCAAGGAAGCACTTCAACTCAACAAGTCATGGTCAACTTCCACACAACATATAAAAACTTACTGAGTCACAGTGGCACAGTACGGCTCATATCAGTTTGCAACTGACATCTGATAATCCATTTCCAGGAGGCACATGTTGTTATTGGGAGCTCAGGGCACACCAGAGATAGAGGAGATGCAGCAACAGCACAGCCCAAATACAACACCAGAAGTACTACCACATGCAAACTGTACATTTAAAACAACCATCAAAACTTAGGAACAGTGCAAGCTTCTTGTTCTGAAATACATCTGTTACCTTGTACAAAGTCACAGAATGCCCATATCTCCCAACGACCACATTTGCAGATTTATTCAATGGAAACCATTTCAGATCCCTCAGATCATATCTGTGAGCAAAAAGCACAGAAATAAAAACTTACATCCATTCCAATTACTGCCTGGCCTGGATTTTCCAATACAATCTGAAGCAAAATTAAAACAAATCTGGGACAGAGGAAGGAAGGGAACACTGAATTGTAAATTACTGCTATCACTGTACTGCAAGCTAGCACGATCCTTCATCCAATCTTTCAGTCATAGGAACATAAAAATAGGAGTAATCCATTCTGCTCCTTCAGCCTGTTCCACCATTCAATGAGATCTTGGCTGATCTGTGACCAAACTCCATTTTCCTGCCTTCTGTCCATACCTCTTAAATTTTTGTTAAGCAAAGGTATTATCTCCCTCAGATTTAAAAATGCTTAACATATCTCCTGAATAGTCTAACACTCATTTTTAATGTTTTACCCTGAGTTCTAGAATCCCCAATCATTGGAAATGGTTTATCTATCTTGTCTTTTCCTGTTACTATCTTAAAGACGTTGATATAGCACCTCAACCTTATAAACGCTCGAGAAAACATGTCTAGTTTATATAATCTCCCCTCTTTACTTAACCCCTGAAGTCTACGTATCATTCTTATAAACCTACGCGCACTCCCTCCAAGGTCAACATATTCTTCCTAAAATGTGGTGCCCAGATCTACACTCAATACTCCAAGTGGGGTCTAACCAAATTTTGTGTACGCTATAATTCTAGACATTGACGAAATGCTAAATAAAACAAGATTGCTCTACAAAGACATGATCAAAATTCTAAATTAATTTACACTGCACAGCCAGCAGGGGGCATTCGCTAACAAAATTTCTGTTCATTAATCAAACTTGTGAACAATAAATAGCAATGAATTAAGCAAAAAATCAAGTAAACATAATCCTGATAAATTTGCAAAGCAGAACATTACTATTAAGAACATTCATAATCAAGTTTTTATTTTAACAGATGAGGCCATCTCAAGAATGATAACTAAGAAACAGCATGTTTGCACAAGTTGAAGCTGCCAATTGCACAAACTCAGGCAGACCTGTCACGCTAAGCTTGGATATGATCATGATTAAAAACTTGTGAAACAAAACACAATTGCAGACTGATAAATAAAACTGGCATGAAAAGGATACCAAGTATATTTTTTGACAGTTGTTAATAGGTTTCTGCAATGCTCGAACAGAATGGAGTCAGGTAGTCAGTTCAGAAAATAGAGACTACAGCATGAGAATGTCAACAAACCGAACAAAAACAGAGTTCTTAAAAAGTCCTAAAGTAGTGCCAAGGTTTGGCTTACTCACGCTGCAACCATCTGGTACTCCGAGTAATTAAACACGTAGCCTCCAATAACCCACATGACATCATCACTGACGACAGCCTTATGAGATGCCCGGGCGAGCATAGGTACCCCATATTCTTTCCAATCCCAAAAGGGCTGATTAGCAGGCAATGAGCAGTCAGGACCTGGAGAGTATTTTTTAAAACAATCATCATGTTTGCGGAAGGCATGGCCACCCATTAAAGATAAAAATATATTTCAAAGCCAAGCAATCATCAAATTTTTGTTACCATGAACATAGAAAAGTTAACTCATTAATATTCAATATTGAAAGAAACAAATCAAATTTTAGAAACACTCAAACTTCACCAGCAATAACACATTGTAGAATATAGACAGTAATACAATAAACATCACCACCAGCCTCACACAAGTACTCGGCAATAGCGAGGGAACAAACCTCTAATTTATTATCAGCCACTCCCATATTAACATTTACTAGCCAACATCCACAGCAACAAGCTGCGACTATGAAACAACACATTTATTGTAAAAACCCATTTAGTTTACCAATATCCTTTACGAAAGGAAACTTGTCTTCATCCAGTTCTAAATGTGCATTCAGATATTTACCAACGTAGTTGACTTTTAATTGTCCTGAAAACTCAAACCCTTCAGTCCTGGTAAAAGCCTTGTAAATCTTTTTAGCACCCTCCCCAATTTAATAATATCCTTCCTATAGCAGGACAACCGGAAATGTACATAGCGCTCCAAAAGTGGCCTCACCAACATCCTGTACAACCTGAACATGACATCCGAACTCCTGCATTCAATGATCTGAGCAATGAAGGCAAGCGTGCTAAATGCTTTCTTAACCATCCCATCTACCTATGATAGGACTTTCAAAGAAGCTCTGTTCTGTAGGATCACAGAATCCCTGCTGTGTGGAAGCAGGCCATTTGACTCATCAGGTCCATGGGGAGGCAATGGCCTAATGGTAATATCGCGAGACTGTTAATCCAGAGACCCAGATAATGTTCTGGGGACGCGGGTTCAAATCCCCCCATAGCAGATGGTGGAATTTGAATTCAATAAATGTCTGGAATTAAGAGTCCAATGATGACTAAGAATCCATTGTCAATTGTTGGAAAAACCCATCTGGTTCACTAATGTCCTTCTGGGAAGGAAACTGCTATCCTTATCTGGTCTGGCCTACATGTGACTCCAGACCCACAGCAATGTAGTTGACTTTCAACTGCCCTGTGGGCAATAAATGCTGCCTCGCCAGCGATGCCCTCACCCGTGAATGAATAAAGACAAAACAAAAAACCAACCTTCTGAAGACCATTCCACCCAGGCCCGCCCCTCATCCTACCCCATGATTATTCCACCAAACCTACACATCTCTGGATACTATGGGCAATTTTCCATGGCCAATCCACCAAGCCTGTGCATGTTTGGGCTATGGGAGGAAACCTTCGCAGACACTGGGAGAATGTGCAAACTCCACACAGAAAGTCACCCAAAGGTGGGACCGAACCTCGGTTCCCAGCTCCGAGAGTCAACAGCGCTAACCACTGAGCCACCGTACCATGTCTTTGTACTTTGACCAGATGGAAACCTCAATTTTAGGTATGTCTGTCACTGCTACTGGCATTTCCTCCTGCACTCTCCACTCAACCAGGGATGATCTGCTGGCTTGATGGTAATGGTGGAGTGGAGGATATGTCAGATCATCAAGTTGCAGATTGTGCAGGGGTAGGATTCTGCTGATGGCCCACAGCACCTAATGGACGCCAAGTCTGGAGTTGCTCGATCCATTCAGAATCTACCACATTTAGCATGACCAAGAATGTTACTTGCCACTTGTCAGAACAAGCCTGGATACCATTCAGATTCATTGCATTTGAACACTGGCTGTTTCGGTATTTTAATGAATCACGAACAGTGCTGAATACTGTGCAGCCATCAGCGAATATCCACACTACTGACCATATCACTCAGGAAGGTAGGTCATTGATGAAGGGATTGAAGACAGTTGCGCCACACGACACAATGGAGATTATCATCAATGGAGAGAGGACTTCATCTGAAGGACTGTGGCAGTCATTACACATCTTAAATGAAAACAAGAGGCTTCCAAGAGAAACTGAAAGATGCACAAGAGCACAAGACATGGAGAAATAGCACAGGACCTATCCTTAGGCAGATGACTGCTGTGTGATCTCTCCACATCCCTCATGAATTTACGCAACTTGATCATTTCTCTTCTCACTTTGTTTTTCATGGACAAACAAACAAACAAACAAACAAACAAAGTCTCATTGTCGCTGATCTTGCCAGTGGATTTATTTATGGCTTGAGTAGATTTCTGACGGACAAGGAATCAAGGATTACAGGAAGCAGCCAAGGACATTCAGCAGAGATCACACTACGTCGAACCTAATCTTATTGATTGGTGGACCAGGCTCGAAGCGTCGAATGGCCGATTCCTGCTCCCAAGTCCTAAATTCCTGCGATTCAATGATGCATACAAGGAGCCGGGTCGCTATTGGGAACCACGTGCGAGAGCTGAATGCGTGGGTTGTGTCCTGCAGTGACAGCAGATCAAGCATGGGCTGGAGCAATGGCAGTGCATCAAGAATGGGCCAGCGAGAGCAAACCGGTGAGACAATGGCTGCAGCATGGCGAGGGCTGGAAAGCCCAGAGCGGGACTGCGGCAGTGGAAGGGAAAGTTGGATTCTCAAGTGGGCAGAATCATCTACTTCAGCTACAAAGTCCCATGTTCCAAAAGAAAGCATCGTACCTCACAGAATCACAAACGCTTGCTTCTTAACTTAGAATAAGATAATGTGAATGGCATCATGTATGTATGGCGAAGATACACACAGTGATCTGGAGATGCAGCAAAGGATTAGGACTAATTAGAATGTTCTTGGAGAGCAGGTACAGACTCTATTGGCCAAATCGCCCCCATCTGAGCTATATTAAACTGGCAGCGCTAAGTTGTTGCAGTAATTAAATGGTAAATCTCAGCACCTGCAGTCATACTGGGAAGAAAATAGAGGTAGGGCAGGAAGTGGAAAACATAAATCACACAACTGTTTCTTTCTCTTGTACAATTATTCATACAGAGACTTACCTTGCCAGCTATCATTGCATATACATGCTTTGGTATCATTCAGGTCACATTTTCCATGATGTGGATACCCACAATTGTCTTTGCAGTAAGGGACATCACACGCTTCTCCTTTCCAGTATTCATTGCACACACAGTACACAGTGCTGTTGTCAGCATCTGCCAGGCATTCTCCGTGGCCTGAGCAGTTGAATGGGCAGGAATTGATACTGTTTAAAAGCAAAAATAAAAACTTTAATTTTTTAAAACTGAACAATTAACTAATAAAGATAAAAATCATTTAATATTAAAGTTGTCCACTCCAACATTATCTTAACCAAAAAATCTTGAACAACTACGCGTAACTTTTGGACTCAAGCTCCTCAAAGCACACAATGTCAATTCACCAAAATGAGAACATGCTGCACCCAATTTAGCAAGAAAACAACAAGAAAACAACTATCTCCTCACAGTGGCTTTCGACCAAGTTACTGGACTGTAAATGAAGCTGTAATACGAGTTAGCAAAGTTTTTTTTTTAAAATTCATTCACGGGATGTGGGTGTCTCTGCTCGGCAGCATTTATTGCCCATCCCTAACTGCCCAGAGGGCAGTTCAGAGTCAACCACATTGCTGTAGGTCTGGAGTCACTTGTAGGCCAGACCAGATAAGGACTGCAGATGTCATTTGCTAAAGGACATTAATGAACCAGATGGGTTTTTCCAACAATTGACAATGGATTCGTGGTCATCATTAGATTCTTAATTCCAGATATTTTATTGAATTGAAATTCCACGATCTGCCATGGTGGGATTCGAACTCAGATCTCCAGAACATTATCTAGGTCTCTGGTTTAACAGTCCAGCAATAATATCACTAGGCCATCACCTCTCTTGAAGCAAAGCGGGGTGGCAATATGGAGACACTGTTTTCAAGGACTACCCATGTCATGGGAATCAAAATTGCTTTGGGAAATAAAACCAGAGGACAGTCAACTCAACTTAATGAAGGGTGAGTTAAATGAATTTTGATACAAAAGAAAGTCAAGGTTTTCTTTTGGGGTGGGGGTGTGCTGCAGACAGGCAAGTGGAATGGAGACCACACAACCACAACAGCCATGGTGTTCTTGAATGATGGGGCAGGTGTGAAGGGATGAATCATCTACTTCAGCTGCAAAGTCCCATGTTCCAAAAGAAAGCATCGTACCTCACAGAATCACAACGCTTGCACCAGCGACGGTCTTCACCATTACTGACAGTTTAAGACTAGATCCACTTAAGCAGATAAAAACCAAAAAGTTTAACAGGGCTTTCTAAATTCATGGAGGATGCTGATCTTTTGATTGGGTAATGCATAACAATGCATCAAATACAAATTACGAATGTAAGGAAAAGGAGTCAGAAATTCAGAATCTTGGGCCTGTTGTGCAAATCAATTATATCATGGCTAAGATACGTATCAAAACTGTTCCTTAAATAACAAGGGGAGAGTTTTCGGAGGAAATTCTTCATAAAGACAGCTACATTTTTAAGGCAAGACCACACAAACATGGGGGTGAAGGGCAGCAGGATATTAGATTAAATCACCCCAAAGAGCTTAACATAACCACAGACTTGAAACTACAGATTTCAATTTGTTTTGTTGATTTGGGACACGGCCTTCATTGGCTGGGCCAGCATTTAGTGCCTGCTCCCAAATGTCTTCAGGGTGGCGGTGGTGGTGAGCTGCCTACTTGCAGCTGCAGTCCATTTCAAGTAGTCATACCCACAATGTTGTTGGGGAGGCGGGGGCACGGCGGCTCCAGGATTTTGACGCTGCGACAGTGAACACTGCCTGTGATATATTTCCTAGTCAAGATGACGACTGGCTTGGCTTTGAGGAGTACTTGTAAGTGGTCTTCCCATATATCTGCTGTTCATCTTTCTAGAGGGTTGTTGCCTTGGGTACCGAAGGTGCTGTCTAAGAAGTCTTTTGAATTTCCACAGTGCAGCTTGTAAATGGAACACATTATGGCTACACTGGGTAATGGCCTTAAAAGGAATTGCATGTTTGGGGATATGGTGATAAATCATATCAGGCTGCTGTGGCATGGAAGGTGTCGAGTTTATCGAGCATGGTTGGAGTTGCACACATCCAGATACCACCACACCCCAGGCCCTATCATCACGTGGGCTGCATTCAACACAGCCTTCCCATCTTCACACAACTTTGGTCCTCATATCAGCTTTTTAACCATCATTTTTCAAGCTACTAGTTTTGAAGAAGGGACACTGGATTCAAAACATTAACTCTGCTTTCTCTGATGCTGCTAGACCTGCTGAGTTTCTCTGGTAATTTCTATTTCTACTCAAGGATGGCATGTTGCCTCCCAGGTGCCAGGATGTCGACAGGACATTTGGAGTGGGTGAACAGATGGTATTGATGCATGCCATAATCACTAACATATAGGTTTCTAAAAAAGAGGATGCGGTCCTGAAAACAGAGGCCATGGACTCAGGAAGCAAGTTGTAAAGTAGGATCTCAACAGTTTTGATCCCAGGATTGCGACCATTGCCACCTGTTAAGAGATTTTTTTTAATAGAATCCCTACAGTGTGGAAACATGCCCTTCAGCCCAACAAGTCCACACCGAACCACAAAGCATCCCACCCAGACCCAACCCCACCAAAGCTACACATCTCTGAACACTACGGGCAATTTAACATGGCCAATCCACCTAACCTGCACGTCTTTGGACTGTGGGAGGAATCCAGAGCACCCAGAGGAAACCCACGCAGACACAGGGAGAATGTGCAAACTCCACACAGACTGTCACCCGAGGGTGGAATCAAACCCGGGTCCCTGGCGCTGTGAGGCAGCAGTGCTAACCACTGAGCCACCATGCCACTCTATTGAAATTGCCAGATACATCAGATGAACACGTTGCTGGAGAAATGCAGCCTCTTGTGGCCCTGGAATTGGGACCAATACAAACTGGACCAGCTGCACCTGGAAAAACTGAACAGATGGTATGTATTTGAAAGTGTGGTCAGGGAAGGTTTAAACTAAATTGGCAGGGAGATGGGAAGCCATACAGGGAGACAACAGAGAAGGAAACAAGAGCAAAAACAAAAACAAAACATAGAATGGGAAATAAGAAAATGGTAGGCAGAGAATTCAAGCCATAGTGCAAAATAATGTGAACAGGACTAAAAATGCTTATACCAGACGAAGCTGAAGGCCTTGTGTCTTAATGCGCAGAACATTGAAAATCAAGTTAATGAATTGAGTTCATTGATGTAAACACACAATATAGTGGAATTCGCTATGTGGCTTCAGGGTGACCAGGGATGGCAAACGAATATCAAGGAGTACTCAATATTTAAGGTGGTCAGACAAAAAAAGGTGTTGGGTTTGCGTGCTCGGAAAAGGGAAGGAAAATGCAATAGGGAGGAAGGATATTATCTCCAGAAGTGGGGTCGACATTCGTGTAGCTCAGAAACATCAAAGAGCAGGAAACAATAATTGGTGCTGTCCATTGACTGCTAAACTGTATTGGTGTGCTGGAGAAGGCATTAAACAAAAAAATTAGAGACACAAGCAATAACAATACTGGTGTAATCAGTTAACATAAATCTGCATACAGATTGTGCAAATCAAAATCAGTAACCATACCAAGGAGGAGGAATCAAAGAATGAATATGAGATCATTTTTGGATCAATACATTGAGGAACCAACTAGAGAACAGGCCATCCTAAACTGGTATTGTATAGTGAGAACAGAATAACTGCATTTTGCCATGCGAAGACCATATTACAGTAGAATTCTTCATTAACATGAAGAGTGACATAGTTGATTCTGAGGCTAAGGTCCTGAATCCAACTCGAGACAGCCACTATGGTTTGAGACAAGTGGGCTTCGATAAATTGGGGAGAGTGACTTAAAAGGATGACAGTGGATAAGTAATGGAAAACATTTGAAGAGTACATGGAGGATCTGCAACAATTGTTCATTTGTGTCTGGCCTGTGAATAAAATTGGAAAGGTGACCAAACCATGGCTAGCAAGGGAAATTAGGGATAGTATTAGATCCAAAGGAGGAGCATATAAATTGGCCAAAAAGAGTAGCAGATTTGACAACTGGGAACAGCATAGATTTCAGCAAAGGAGGACAAAGGGATTGATTAAGAGGGTAAAAACAGAGCAGAAGAGTAAGCTTGCAGAGAACATACAAACTGATTGCAAAAGTTTTTGTAGGCATGTGAAGAGAAATAGCAAAGATAAATCTAAGACCCTTACAATCAGAAACAGATAACTTATAATGATGAACAAAGAGATGGCAGACAAATTAAATACAAATTTTGGTTCTGTCTTCACAAAAGGACAATTCAGAGAAAGCGTTAAGAAAATCAGTACTCGTAGGGAAATGATATTGGGCACAGTGATTGGATTAAAGCCTATCAAATCCCCTGGGCCTGATAATCTACGTGCTCGAGAAACAGTGGAGGTATTGATGGCCATCTTTAAAGAGTCTTTAGCTTCTGGAACAATTCCTACAGTTTTGAGGGAAGCTAACGTAACTTTACTATTTTAAAAAGGAGGCCAAAAGAAAGTGGGGAATTATCGACCAGTTTCTTTCTTTCTTTCCTTTATTCATTGACAGGATGAGGGCATCGCTGGCTAAGCAGCATTTATTGCCCATCCCTAATTGCCTAGAGGGTAGTTAACAGTCAACCACATTACTCTGGGTCTGGAGTCACATCTCGGCCAGACCAGGTAATGATGGCAGTTTCCTTCCGTAAGAGGGGCATTAGTGATCCAAATGAGTTTTTCCCACAAATCGACAATGGGTTCATATTCATCATTAGATTCTTAATTCCACCATCTGCCATGGGGGGATTCAAACCCGGGTCCCCAGAACATTAGCTAGGTCTCTGGATTAACAATCCAGCGATAATATCACTAGGCCGTTGCCTCCCCTGACACTAGTAGAAAGGAAAAGAGCGAATAGCAGAGCACGAGGAAAACAGTGACAGGATTGTACCGAGTCAGCATGAATTTACAAAAGGGAAATCTTGCTTAGCAAATGTACTGGAATTCTTCAAGAGCTCAACTAGTAAGAATTGATAAGGGGATTCCACCAAATGTGGTAACCTCAGGACTTTCAGGTGTTCATTAAAGGTCCTACATAAGAGATTAACACACAAAATTAAAGCACCTGGGATTGGGGGGAGAACTGGAGCATTGACATGC